TTTTTTTTTTTTTTAAACATATTAATCTCTCTAAAATCAGGATGCTGACTCTTCATTTCAGATTCAATGAAATACAATATTTAAAATTTCATCATTCACACTGTCTTAGCACCAAGGTAAACTAACACATCTTTGCTCTTTAGCAAAGGTTAGACTGTGGTGCTAATCTTTGAAGAATGATGAACAACTGAGAAACCACATGGTTTATTTAGCAAACACTTAAGGCCATACTATTAAGAAGTTGGTCACCTGAAATAAACTATCTGGGGAATAAAGGATGAGACAAGAGGTCATAGGTGGTGCAAATTTCCAACTATTCTTATGAAGTGGCATCTATGGTCAGCCAAATAACTGCTTCCAGTCAATTACTATAACCGTAAGACTTAGAAAGTAATAACCTAGAATTTGATCTGCTAGAACTCAAAGCCAGTACATGAGGGCAGAATAGTTTGACAGATATCAATTTCACAAAGAATGGCATAAAGTCACAGATAAAACATGAAAAGGAAATATATCCCATTCAGAGGGCATAATTTGCCTTTGAGATCATACTTATTATTGGCAGTAAAAGAAAAAGTTAACTTTGTTGTGCCACCAATAAAATTAACTATATATAACAAATATACATAAGAGCTTTATAGGGCCAACAGCATGAGTTGGCGTCATGCTTGTCTAGAAATTAAGTACCCAGAAGTTAAAAAACAAAAAACAAAAAAAGAAAGAAAGAAAAACACACACACCTTTCTTTCTTGGAGAAAGAAATTAAATCCCAGAATTTATCAGTATAGAATAAACTGACTCAAACATTTGAGTACTTCTGATATCTAAATATTTGAATACCTTCAATATTCAAGTCAATAACTTTAGGTAATCTTTATACCCAACATGGGGCTCCAACTCACAACCCCAAGATCAAAAGTTGCATGCTCTACCAACTGACCTAGCAGGCACCCAAGTCAGTAACTTTACAGAGATTAAAATAAAGTACCTTTTTCCAGGATTTTTAAAATTCCTGAATACAAACCATCTGATTTACCAATCAGTAAAATGGAAATACTGTTTTTTCCCCTGAACATATTTTAAATGATAAACACAAAACACAAAACAAAATGAGTTTATCAGTATTTAATACTTCTGTTTTCAAACTGTCACTTAATTTTTACAGTCTACTGAGAGTCTAGGAAGCAATCTGCATTTTGATTAATGTTCCTTGTATAGCTAATCTTTTAAAACTTCTTTAAGGAGCACTGGGTGTTGGATGTAAGCCAATTTGACAATAAATTATATTTTTAAAATAAAATAAAAAAATAAAAATAACATTAAAAAAACAAAAAAAAACTTCTTTAAGGCTTTTCATTTTTGAAAAAAAAAAAAAAAAATCATCCCAAATTTTCTGGTGCAAATGCGATGAAAAAAAAACTCAACTAGTATAACGGGGCCAAATTAAACTTTCCTACACAATTTGTTCTTCCCCCAGAACATATATTAGCCAAGGGGAAGGAAATGAAGACAACTACAAATTATACTTGTTATAACCTTCTATACTCTGGTAACATCTAAGCTTCAATTATGTATTCAGTGACTCTCTAATTACTCCGACTACATTTTTTGTATTTTGGTACTATGCACCAAAATACAAAAATCGCAAATCCTAAACAAACTTTACTGTTTGATGGAGAATAAGGTTGAATTATTAGTATCCTAAACAACCTTACCTTAATAAAGCTGGCAGTAATCTATTTTTCAGAGACTTCATAAACTTATGTTATTTACCTTTTTAAAGGTCCTGAGTTTTTATTAAAATTCAAGTGCTATTGAATCTATAAATATATTAAAATAGTCTAAATAAATACATTTTTTAAGACCTGACTCCTTTACCTACCCTGCTGAAATGTGGAGTCCAATAGTTTTTCATTGGTCTTCTCTCTCTGCACTTTAGACATTCTCCCTTAGTGACAATTCAGCTCTATGACACTCACCTATCAATCTGTATAATCTTAAGCCTACATGTTTCTCCTAAGCTCTGGATCTGCACTATGCAATATGACAGCCACCAGCCATTGAACTATTATAAGACAGCATCAGTGGAATGAATGGATAATCTTTCAAATGGACTAGTTAAAAAACATTGAGTACACTGATTATTGTATATTTATTAAAAATCAGTCTCAGTAATTCAAAATTACACCTCAGATCTTACTTGAATTTATAGAAATCTGAGGAACTTAAGTCTAGAAGGCTTACCATTTTTACTATATCAGAATACGCTGATTCAACAATTACACCACGATTAGTTGAAACATACTCAACCAGTTCATTCAGTGTTGCCCTTTTAATTTCTTTGCTCTTCAAGTCTGAAACAGAGTCCATGAAATCAAACAGTATACAACACTGCTGCAACTTCTGACAGAAAAGCTCTTGTTGTTCATTGGAAGTGGCATCTATAAATAAAAATAAAGAAAAACTTAGAAATAACCTACTCAGAAATTACCTTTAATAAGCTTATTAATTTTATAGATGCTATTCACACACATAAAATAAAAAAACTTCTCTCAAGAATCTAGTGAAGAAAAAAAAAAAATCATGAGAAATTCACCCATCTAATCTCATCATTCATGCCAGAAACCAGGATCCACAATGGACTTTTCTTCCTCTCTTACTACCCATAATCAACCATTATATGTTATTGATTCTGTTTAACATATCTGGAATCTACCCTTTTTTTGGTCATTCTTATTGCCATTTTAATTATCCTCACCTTCCATCATCTAAATTACAGCAATGATATCCTAACTACTCCTCTTGCCTGGTCCCATAACTACTACAACTCCTGATTTACCTTCTAAACTACCTCAAAAGCTAAAAATTGTGCTAAACAGAAAATCAATCTGATCACACTCAATACTTTTCAATGATTCTCCAAAAATTACAAATTGAAACTCAAACTTGTGTACAAAATTCAGCTGCCTGTTGTCAACAATCAACTCTCAACACTTTGCAGCATGTAACCCTTTGGTTAAACCATATTCCCTCGACTTGTGAGATTTTACAATTTCCTTTGCCTGGAATGTTCTTTTCCCACATTCCCACCCTGGGAGCCCTCCCCATTTATTAAGTTTCAGCAGAAACCTATTCCCCTCAGAAACTCTAGGACACTAAAGCTAAACTGGTTAATCCCCTTTTACCCAAATGTATCTTAGGTTTGTACCTAAGTTACCTACTGTAACATTTTTTGTTCTATGTGGCAATTATGTTTTACATGTACAACATTCCTAGACTGCAAGGCCCCCAAAGAGGGAAACAAGTGTTATTTTTATCTCTATCTCTGTCTGTCCCTCTCCCCACACCCCACCACCTCTTATATCTAGAACAGTATCTGGCACACAATAGGCATTCAGTAAATGTTTCTTGTTTTATTTTCTACTTATTTACAAAACTATGGACACATTATATTGATTTGAGTCTAACATATGTATTAAATCCTTTTGTTTCCAACATTCAAAAAACAACAAAATTTCAATTCTGAACTTTCACATCTGTAAACAAGGACCTTCAATTAGCTCAATTATTTAAGTTTCTTAATTAGGGGGATTAAATTTTAAAAAAAACCTCATATGCACCTACTTAATATACTTAATTTGAAAAAGTAGAAGATGAATAATACCTCTGCTTTTTGTAAGCTTCCCAATTACGCTAAACTTGTTAGATTGGGTATGTGTTACACACTAGAGAAGGGGTGATTATTTGAGCTGGAAGAATCCTTCTCAACTCATACTGTACAGGAAATCCCCATACGTTTTTTCAGTTTCTCAGTAATACCTTTATCTATTTGTAAAGATATCTATATCCTCATTGTATAACTTTATATCTGTTTTTAATTTTTTTAAATTATTTTTATTTATTTTTGAGAGGCAGAGAGAGACAGAGCGCAACTGGGGGAGGGCAGAGAGAGAGGGAGACACAGAATCCGAAGCAGGCTCCAGGCTCTGAGATGCCAGCACAGAGCCTGACGTGGAGCCCAAACTCACGAACTATGAGATCATGACCTGAGCTGAAGTCGGATGCTCAACCGACTGAGCCACCCAGGTGCCCCACTTTATATCTTTATTATAACATATATTAGATCTTTATGTGTAATTATACATAAAGATTATACATAAAGATTCCCCATTATACTGATGGGGAATATAGGGAAATAGGTGTCGTACCTTTACAAGCTAACTCAGTTCTGACAGAGTTTTTAAAATATTTTTAAGCTATTTTTTCCTTTTAATACAAAAACTCATACAATATCCCATTTCACTATGTGGTCCAGCCCTAACTAATTCTCCTTTTCCTCCCACTACCAACTCAACAGGAAATCACTGCCTTTCTTGTTCCTCAAAGGCCATGTGTCTGCTCAAACTCTTCCCTACCTGATATACCTTACCAGATTTCCTCCCCTATGTTTCACTCACCCTCCAAGAATAAAATTAAATCTCACATTCTCCACAAAATTTCCCTTAGGTAGTAAGTAGGTCAGAACACAGTGATCCCTCCCTTCTCTGAACATCTACAGTACTCAGTCTCAATCATAGAGTTGAGTATGCATTATGTTTAAGTCTGTATTTAATGAGTATTTCTTTTATCACCCACCAAAAGATTTCAGATTCCATAAAGGCAAGGATCATTCACTGAACAAGTTTTCTTTTTATTTCTTTTATATCATAGTGTAGGGTATATAAGAAGTCAACAAACATATATTTGATGCTTGAAAAAAACTCTTAAATTTGCGGAATAAAGACTATGCACTGAAAAACAGGCTACAGAATTAAGTTCAAAATTTCTGCTGGATATCAAAAGTGGTATCAATAAATTACTACATCATGTCTATGCTTAAGAATTTATAGTAATGACCATTTTTATCAACAACCTACCTTGATGGTGATTTAAATGGATTAAACGAGATAATGATCATGAAGTTGAGTGAATATATTTCAAAGTTGGAATAAAAAAGGAGAAGCCTCTGGCTAACATGTTAGAAGACACAAATGATTTTTAGGACTGGTAAATAGTAGTAGATTCAGGAATATGTTACAAAAAGAAGTTTCACTTTCTGGGCACCTCATAAGAGTCTTCTCTACAGAAAAATTGGTGTTTTTCATAGCTTCTCCATTCAGTAATCCATTTCTTAACTTAAAGATTTATTTGAATTTATTTTTTCTTCTCCAGTATTTTATCTCAGCATTACCTAATGCTTAGACGGGATAGGTCACATCTGGATCTTCCCAAACATTAGAAATATTTAGAAAAGTTAACATTTCAACTCCTTTGGCTCTGAGTTAAAATAGACATTTCCAGTCCTCAATTTTTTTTAGGTATTAGAGAAAAGAAAAATCCTTTCCCACCTAACCCTAACTTAACTTTCAAAACAGTCCTTAGTTCTGGGGCACCTGGGTGGCTCAGTTGGTTAAGGGTCCAACTTCGGCTCAGGTCATGATATCACGGTTCGTGGGTTCGAGCCCCACATCTGACTCTGTGCTGACAGCTCGGAGTCTGGAGCCTGCTTTAGATTCTGTGTCTCCCTCTCTCTCTCTGCCCCTCCCCCACTCATGCTCTGTTTCTCTCTCTCTCTCCTTCAAAAATAAACAAACATGTAAAAAAGATTTTTTTAAATAATAAAAACTTCTAACTTAGTTCTGAAAGTTAGAGATGACTTCCTGTCTTCAAGGGATTACAAACTGCTAGGTACATGACATGCAACATCTTTACGTAGATTAAAAACATTTTTATAATGGTTATCCTAGTAAGAAAAGATGATTATGGTTTTCATCAAGAAGCTATGAAATAGGGGCGCTTGGGTGGCTCAGTTGGTTAAGCGGCTGACTTCGGCTCAGGTCATGATCTCGCGGTTTGCGAGTTCGAGCCCCGCGTCGGGCTCTGTGCTGACAGCTCAGGGCCTGGAGCCTGTTTCAGATTCTGTGTCTCCCTCTCTCTGACCTTTCCCCGTTCATGCTCTGTCTGTCTCAAAAATAAATAAACGTTAAAAAAAAAAAATTAAAAAAAAAAAAGAAGCTATGAAATATATTGTACTTGTTGATGTTTATTATGTCCCAACTCAGGTGTCTCTACAAAACACAATTTACACTGAATTTTCTCGTAAGAAAAAAAAGAAAAGCAGAAAATATATTTCAATAAGTTGAAAAAAGATCAGACTGTATTCTGGCTATACTTCATAAATATGAATGACAACTTGTGAGAAAAAGAACGTGTAATAATTCTCTTTGCTAATGTAAAAAGTGCTGACAAAATCTATATTGGTGACTTTATACTTTAACTTCACCATTTATAAGAATGCTTCCAAATGAAGTCTGTTATACTCAATGATATTTCAGTTTGGCAATGTCTTAACATTTAGGCAGTAATGTCATGTATTGTTCGAACTTAGTTATTTTTACTGTGCTAATGTTAATTATCCATTCGCCATTTTCAATGTGGATAATGTCCATTCCGATTCCAATGGTGATAGCTTTTTTCCTTAGGATTCTCTATCTGCAATATTCACTGATGTCTTCTATGAGAATTTCACTTAGTGGTTTAAAAATAAAAACACCTGCAGAAACATACAAGTTCACAGGAAAAATTCAGAACACCTTAGAGTACTATGCCATACAGCAACTGGAATGGTAGATGCACACACTGTTAACTGTTACACATCTTCCTGAGTACAACACAGTATTTGCTTAGTCAACTTGAAATTAATTACACAAGAGACCCCAAATTTTTGCTCCAGCAGTTTAAAGCAGGTCTTCTTGAAATAATAACATGTATCCATTTTTTTCTTTAATTTCATTTAGAGAGAGAGAGAAAGCGCAGCGAGCACACACAACCAGGGGAGGGACAGAGACAGGAGAGAGAATCCCAAGCAGGCTCCACACTGTCAGTGCAGAGCCCAATGGGGGGCTCAATATCACAAATGGTGAGATCATGACCTGAGCCAAAGTCAAGAGAAGTGCCCCTGACATGTATCTATTTCAAGTGGATTATTAATTTCTTCTAAAATTTGTAAATAAATCAGGAACAAATAAAGGATGAGTATTTAAGATCCTGGTGACTGCCATTTAAATGAAGAGAAAAACCAGTCCTATTCATAAATCTTTTCATATATTTTGGTCTCCCTAAGTATTTACTTGGGAGCAATTCAGACTAGCAATTATTACCAGTAATTATTATCATAGTGTATCGCGTTCAACAGTTTTAAATGCTTTAAGTCTTTAAATTGTCAAAGAAATTTGATTACAATTTAAAAATATTATGACCTAAAAAAATATTATGACCTACATTTATCTCTTCAAAAATATCAGAGAACTAAGGATTTCCTAAAAGTGCTCTTTACTAAGTCCCCAATAAAACAAGCTCTGCATGAAAATTATGGAAGATCTGGGGTGCCTGGGTGGCTCGG